AGCCTGCTAGTAAGAAAGCAGTCATACAGCATGTAAACTAATGAGCATGACTATCCTTTAATAAAACTATTTTTCAGTTTTATATAATTTTTACATATCATGATATAGTATTCTTAAAAGTTTTTTCCCAACAATTAAAACTGTAAAAGTCATTCTTAGATTGTAGACTGCACAGAAACAGGTAGCAGGCAGATTTGTCCTGCAGAATGTAGTTTGCAAACTTGTTCTATTATATTCCTCTGTAAGAGATCATGACTGTGCTTGTTATATTTTCTCTGACTTTTATACTTGGAAGTCAGTCTTATTGGATTAAAAATCTTTCGTTTTGCCCTGGCTGGTGTGGCTCAGTGGATTGAGCACGGGTCTGTGAACCAAAGGGTTGCCAGTTGATTCCTAGTCAGGGCACATGCCTAAGTTGCAGGCCAGGTCCCCAGAAGGGGGCATGCAAGATGCAACCACACATTGAAGTTTCTCTCCCTTGCTCCCTCCCTTCCTGTCTCTAAAAATAAATAATAGTAAAAAAATTTTACAAAAATGTTTGGTTCATATTTTCTTTTCTTGAATGCCTTAGTCAATGGAGTATATTGCTCAGTTTTCTTTTGGCATGAATTATTGCTGTCAAGGTCTGGTGATAATTTAAATTTATCTTTTGTGTAAGTCACATAATCCATCCCTCCTTTTTCTTAAATAATATTGCTGCAGTGTATCATGGTGTTGGTCATTCTGGGTTGAATTTCTCAGGTATATTGTAGTATATTTTTTAGATACGTATTTTCAATTTTAAGAAAATTTTCTTGAGTTATTTTTTAATTTCTTTTTTTTTGCCTTAGTTTTTTTCAAAGACTCATCCATATGAAGGATGGCCTTTTATCTTTAGTATTTTTCATTTTCTCTAGCATCTGTTAAAAATTTCTTCAAATTTTTTTCATATCTAAATTTTAAAAATGTTTTCTCATATCATGTCCTATTTCTTGTTAAGGCATTGTTTTCTTCATTGTTTCTTATATTCCCTCTAGTTTAGTCTTCATTTCTGAAATGACTTTCTTTTTTGTTTCTAATTCTGTCCTGAAGTCTGCTACTTCACTTCTAAACATTTCTAATTCTGATTTATGTTATTTCATGTTTTATATAATTTTTAGATGTCTTTTAGCTTGTTTTGAAATGGATAAAAGTCTTGATTGGTTGTGTTGGCATGTCTTTTTCTTGTGCTTTTTTTCACTCCATGGATGTTATTTTAGTCCTTAATAAAAACATTATTTGGCATTTTACCTTGATACTTTTATTTTGCTTAGTTTCATGTGTGAAATTAGTTTTCCTCTATGTTGCTTTTAAAAGAGGTATATATGTTTTAAAATCAGTCTTATTATCCAAGAAGTTTAATAGAGATAGAGATAGCAGGAAAAGATTTATTCTGAGGTCTTGAAAAGATGAATTAACTTTGTATCTATATTTTAAATATAGATACAAATATATTTGTATACAAATATAAGCATCTGCAACTTTTAATTGCCTCCTATAATTGTTGCCTGTAAAAATCCATGTTTCAGCGTAGAATTATAACTTCTAGACCTCTCTGTCTGCCTCCTGACAGGCACTTGACTGTCTCATAGACATTTCAACTCAGCATATGCAAAGTTGACGTCGCCATCTCATTTCCCAAACATCTATCTCCTCATATATTTCTTTCCTTTTTTTGCAAAGGATGAGGAAATAGAATTTTATTTTTTTATTATATATTTTATTGATTATGCTATTACAATTGTCCCATTTTTTTCTTCCCCTTTATTCTTCTCCGCCCTGCACGCCCCCTGCCACCAACATTCCCCCCGCTTAGTTCATGTCCGTGGGTCGTACATATAAGTTCTTTGGCTTTTCTATTTCCTATATTGTTCTTAACGTCCCCCTGTCTATTTTTTACCTACTATTTATGCTTCTTATTCCCTTTACCTTTCCCCCATTTTCCCTCCTGCCCCTCCCTGCTGATTGCTCTCCATGTGATCTCCATTTCTGAGATTCTGTTCCTGCTCTAGTTGTTTCCTTAGGTTTTTTTTTTTTTTTTTTTTTTTGGTTCAGTTGTTGATAGTTGTAAGTTTATTGTCATTTTACTGTTCATAGTTTTTTGATCTTTTTTTCCTTACATAAGTCCTTTTAACATTTCATATAATAAGGGCTTGGTGATGATGAACTCCTTTAACTTGACCTTATCTGGGAAGCACTTTATCTGTCCTTCCAGTCTAAATGATAGCTTTGCTGGATAGTGTAATCTTGGATGTAGGTCCTTGTCTTTCATGACTTTGAGTACTTCTTTCTAGCCCCTTCTTGCTTGCAAGATTTCTTTTGAAAAATCGGCTGATAATCTTACAGAACTCCTTTGTAGGTAGGTAACTGTCTCCTTTTCTCTTGGTGCTTTTAAGATTCTCTCCTTATTTGTAATCTTGGGTAATTTAATTATGATGAGCCTTGGTGTGTGTTTCCTTCGGTCCAGCTTCTTTGGGACTCTCTGAGCTTCCTGGATCCCCTGGAAGTCTATTTCCTTCACCAGATTGGGGATGTTCTCCTTCATTATTTTTTCAAATAAGTTTTCAATTTCTTGCTCTTCCTCTTCTCCCTCCGGCACCTCTATGGATTGGGATGTTGGAACGTTTAAAGTTGTCCCAGAGGTTTCTAAGCCTCTCCTCACTTTTTTGAATTCTTGTTTCTTCATTCTATTCTGGTTGAGTGTTTATTTTTCTTTCTGCTCCAAATCATTGATTTTAGTCCTGGTTTCCTTCCTTTTACTGTTGGTTATCTATGTTTTTCTTTATTTCACTTCACTTTTTCCTCTGTTTTGTAAACATAATCATTTCTGTGAGCATCATGGTTGCCAGTGTTTTGAACTGTGCATCTGATAGGTTGGCTACCTCTTCATGGCTTAGTTCTATTTTTGGAGCTTTGATCTGTTCTTTCATTTGGGCCATATTTCTTTGTCTCAGTATGCCTGTTATGTTGGAAGGGGCAGAGCCTTAGGTATTTGTCTGGGCGGGGCAACCCAGGTTGCTGCGTTGTGATGCTCTCTGTGGGGGAGGAGTCCGAGAGGGAACAATGCCACTTGCTCAGCTCTCAGCCAGCTGTCAGTCACTTCCCCCACTATCCACAAGCATATTGGGCCCTTCTGATGCTGATTCCCAGGTGCGTGGGTTTGTGTGTGTTCTAGGACCCTGTGCGTCTCTCCGGCAGAACTCTCCTGTGAGGCTGGGAGTTCTCCCGCTGCCATATCCCCCATAGGTTTTTACAGCCAGGTGTTTTGAGGGTTTCTTTTCCCTCACTGGACCCTTGGGTTGCATGTTCTGTCTCATTCCCCAGCTGTTCTTCCTGATTTATCTGCATGCAAATGTGGGACCACACAGTCTGCCAGCTACCCCCTCGCCTGCCTGGTCCTCCAGCTACCACCTTGCCTAACGTCCTTTCTGCCCTGGCTGCCTGTCTCTGGCCCTCCTACCAGTCTGGATGAATGTTTCCTTTTTAACTCCGTGGTTGTTGGACTTCCGTACAGTTAGATTTTCTGGCAGTTCTGGTAATTTTTTGTTTTTATATTTGTTGTTGTTCTTTTGGTTGTGGGAAGAGGCAAAGTATATCTACCCTATGCCTCCATCTTGGGTGGAAGTCCTCTTCATATATTTCTTTTGTTGATTCCCTGTTGTATATCCACCTCCTTCTAAAGGTGGGTTCAGTCCTCATGAGCCATAATGGCTGAGAGGGCAATCTGAGCAACACATTGCAGTAGCTTTTCTGGATAATATCTCATCAGGAGAATGAAGCTCCTTTTCCAAGCCAAGAGTCTTTCAGGCAGCAATGCCAATAGATGCAATATGATACATAAAATACACTATTTATTCTTTATACTGACTGAAGGTCATGGGAGAATCAACATTTAAGCACCTTACTCTCATGATGCCCAGCATACAATCGGGTCTTCCTGCTTCATATATAACCTCAGTTTTTTACCTAATGACCTCACCTTTAACCTCAGCAAACCCCTTTTACTTCTCTAAACCGTGCCTACAGTATATTTTTTTCATCCCTAATTAATATTTTCCTCATTAGCATTTTATTATAACAAACACAGAGAGATGGATCCATTGCTAGGGACTAACTAATTTATGCAGAGCAGTTTTTATTGAAACCATAACTCCACTTGGTAAATGACCACTGCATTGACTTGTATCTTTTACTCACAAGGATATAGACATTTTATACTTTATTTGTGTATTTCTCTGAGGTATTGGTGATCTGTTCATAATTTCTTGAATTAGCTGGTATTTTGTGGTTTTCATCTATGTTATCCCCTACATTTAGCTCAGAGTCTGGCACAGAGTTTATATTCAATAAAAAATGAATATTTGTGTTGAACTAGGCACTGTGCTGCAGAGAATTGAGAATACAAAGATTTACAAGGCATTTTAAAAAGGTAAACTTACTGTTTAGATTCAGTGGCAGGATACTGAATATAAATATAACACCAATGAAGTTGCTTTTCCAAAGAAATCTTTCAGTATCAAGCAATAATTCTTATTACTTTTTATTTTTTAAAGATTTAATTTATTTATTTTTAGAGAGAGGGGAAGAAAGGGTGAAAGAGGGAAAGAAACATCAATGTGTGAGAGAAACATCTTATCTATTGGTTGCCTCACACATGCCCCCAACTGGGGACCTGATTGGGAATCGAACTGGCAACGTTTTGGTCTGTGGGATGATGCCCAATCCACTGAGCTACACCAGTTAGGGCTACTTTTATTTTCCTTTGACCCAAACTTTGTTTCATATATCTTTGTGCACATTTACTATATGCAATACAGTATTATATATTTTAATGTATTGGCTCGAATGTTTACTTTCAAATTGTTTTGGCATGGAAATAATTAGGTTATGTATGGTTGTTTTTTTTTTTTTAATAAAATTGTGACTCCATATCAAGGACCATAATGCTTTTGTTTTAAATTTCTATTTTTATTTCTCCACAGGCAGCAGAAGATGTCATTTTCATTGGACCTGACACACATGCTATTCAAGCCATGGGTGACAAGATTGAAAGCAAATTATTAGCTAAGAAAGCAAAGGTTAACACAATTCCTGGATTTGATGGAGTTGTCAAGGTGAGAAACCATTTTACTCTAATCTTTATAGTACATGCCCTCAGGTCAAATGTTTTGTCAAAAGTGTAAGATAAAATGCAATTATTGCTTTTTAAATTATGCATGAGCATATTAACCAATAACCAAAATATTGATTTAAAAAAAATCAATGTTGTTTACACTTGGATTATTTTCAATGCCATTAGTTAAAAAGAGCAAGATGCCAATTAAGCATTGTATTTTTTTCTTTATTTCATTGTTTACATTATTACAGACATCCCAATCCACCTCTACCTTTGCCTACCTATTCTCTCTGCCCTCCTTAAGCATTGTATTTAATGATTGATACTGGCTCATACTTTCACAGGAAAAAATTTGGTGATTTAAAAATGTGCTGTTAGGTCTCTGTATTTTATTTAATAACAGCATATATTTAATGTTTTAAACCCTATGATGTTCTCTATATCTTTGTATTGAGCTTCCATCCATATGCATAAAATGTACATTATAAACATGTTTCTAGTGGAAAGTGGTGTAGCAATGAATGACTATAGTTCCCAAACATACCTCCTTAACCAGCAAGCAGCTTCTGCAGCTAAAGACTTCTAAGGCAGAATGCAGAAATTGGAGTATATGTCTGTCTCCCTGTCCCCATTCCTACATCCCCATCCCCTGAGAAAAATTTTCTTGTTATAAGAGAGTCCCTGTGTAGACTTTAACCTTGTGATTGGAGTTAGTCTGCAAGAACTATCCCTCTCAGTGTTTCTTATTTTTACTTTTGGGGCTGCTAAGTTCTTTGTGCAGGATCATTTCATGCATTATAGGATAGTTAGTAAGCTTGGCCCCTGGTCAGTAAAATTTTTAGCTTTTTTCGTAACTACTGTGCTGTACATTGAAACTAATCCAAAATAATGTTGAATGTAAGGTCTAAATGAAAAAATTTTTTTAAAAAGAAGAAAAAATTCATCTTCTTGCTCATATTTACCTGTATTTACCTTAATCTGTATTCATCCATTTTTTTCCCCTTCTCTTTTTGTATGAGGAAGAGGTATTCCCCATTCTTTTTAAAACCTGTTCTTCCTCTTATGCTCTAGGTGTACCCTTTTTAGCCTTGAGGGGCTACAGTCTTCATTGATTATCTTTTCTTTACTCTGTATCTTAAAACTCTCCTTGTCTTTTAGCCCCTTTCCTTTACCACTGCTATAAAAAATGCTCACTCAACAAGTGTATTGATACCTGTGCTAAGAGTGGGAAGGATGTGGTGATAAACAAGATACCCATGACCCCCTCACATGATGGTGTTTCAAGGTTAGTGGAAAGAAATACGTGTTCCTTCTCTTCAGAGAATATAAGTCCTTGTCATTCTTCAGCTGTCATCTGACTTCTCTCTTCCCTTTCACATCCACATGTCTTAGGAGAATTCTCCTCACTCTCGTTTCTACACTTTTAAACTTTTAAAAGTATTTTTATTTTTAAAATATAGTTGACACACAATATTATTAGTTTCTGATATACAACATGATTAAACATTTATATAATTTATGAATTGATTACCCCTGTATGTCTAGTACCCATCTGACTCCATACATAGCTATTACAGTATTACTGACTGTATTCCTTTTGCTGTACATTACATTCCCGTGACTATTTATATACCTGCCAATTTGTACTTATTACCCCCTTTACCTTTTTCATCCATCCCCCATACTTACTCTTTACTGAAGTCTGGCTTCTTTCTTCATTCCCACTGATGTTTCTCCTGCGAAGGATAACAGCAACTTCTCCTTCTCACTAAATCCAGTATATAATTTTTAATTCTCTTACCTCAATCTCTTTGAAGCATTTAAGTCTCTTGGTTACTCTTTCTTGAAATTCAACTTCTGGCACTTTGCTCAGTTCTAGTTTTGTTTTTGTATTTTTTGGCTTGTTTTGAATGTTCCCTCTTAATTTCATGCTGATTCTTCTTTCTTTGTTCCTTAAGAGTTGGTTTTATTCTGGGTTCTGATGGGACATTTTCCTTAATTGTACAAACACCCTGGGCAATCTTAAATATTTTTATCATTTCTAATCTCAAGGTATAAATCTGTTCTATATATCTCTTCCGAACTTCAGAACTGCATATCTAATTGCTTTTCAAATAGCTCTACTCGATGCTTTTTGAGGCAACTTGAAAGTAGCAAGTCAAAAGCTGACCTCACCATTTTCTCTCTAAACAAGGATTGGCAAACTATGGTGTGATGCACATCTCTGTATATAAATAAAGCTCTACAGGGTCACAGCTATGCTTATTCCTTTACATATGTCTGAGTGCTTTTCTACTATAATGGCTCAGGTGAGTAATTTTGACACAGACCATAATGCCCACAAAGTCTGAAATATTTACTACCTGGCCCATTCAGAAGAAGTTTGCTGACTCTTGCTGCAATCTTCTCATCCTTTATTTTTTTCTTGCTTATGAAAGTATTGGCATTTTCCCCATTGTTTCTCAAGCTGGGAACTTGCAGTCATTCTTCATAAATACTACTACAGAGAATTTACTTAATATCTTTCTGATCCATTTCCTTCTTTCTTTCCTCATGCTAACACCAAGTTCCAGTTACCACCATCTACTTTGGACATCAGCCTTCTAACTGGTCTCCTTGGAGCCAGTCTTGGTTCTGTCCAATACATTTTGGACACTGCAGCTTGAGTGGTCTTTCAAAAATCCAGATTTTATCATATGCCTGTGTTTAAATGTTCTTGAATGGCTACTCATGTATATTTTTAAAATAGATGGACTTTGTTTCTCTCTTTAAACTGATATTGTGCCAGTTTACCCTTTGCACTGTAGGTACCAACCATATGTGACATCTTTCATATTCTTGAACCTTCTGTACTTAATTTTGTCATATGTGTGTTGATTCTGCCTCTGTCTTAATTCCTGATTGTCTTCTACTTGTTGTTTAGGTCTTGGCTTAACATGCATTTGTCACAGAGGCATTCCTTTACTCTCTAGGTGATAGATTAGGCCCTCTGTTCTATCTTCCCTTAGTGCCCTGTACTTCACCCATCACATTTTAAACTGCTCATTCATTCATTTAGTCATTCATCTACTCAGTAAATATTTAAAAACTGCATACCATTTGTCCAACATTATTTGAGGTGCTGTGGATATACTAATGAACAAAACAGATAAAAAATTCCTGTACTCATGAAGCTAACTCTATAGGGGAAGGAGACAATGATCAAAAAATAAAGTTATAATACATGCTATGGTGAAACATAAGATGAGGAATGGGGAAAGGGAATGCTGGAGGGTACTACCTTAACAAGTGACAGGGCAAGTCATGTGGTTATCATGGAAAAAGCAAAGTGTATTAGGCAGAAAAAACAAGTGCAAAGATGTTGCGGTTGAAGTACACTTGATGTTGAAAAAATAATGAGGAATCATGTGACTGGAGTGATCAAGGGAGAAGTCAGAGATGAAATAATAGAGGTAAGAGCATCACGATGGTGGAGGAATGAGTAGAAGTCACACTGACTTCCTCCCAGAACCAACCTGAAATTACAAATAAATTGTGGAGAAATCACTTGGAACAAACAACTGAACAATAGCGAGAGAGGAGCCTTGTAACTTCTGAGACAGAAGGATCAGCTTTAGCGCAATCTAACTGGTAAGGAGTGCGGTAGAGACTTGAGATGGCAGGTGGGGTGCCCACAGGCAGCAGCAACAAAAGGACACTGAAATGGCCAGTTGGATCCCCCTGAGAAGAGAGGGGTCTAAACAAAAAGCGGGGATCTCTAGCTCAGAGCACCAGTGCCCAAAAAGTACACAGAAAACAGCCAGCTCTGAAAAGCAGCAGGGTTGCTCTCTGCCAGAAAAGGTGTGTAGAGATGAAAAGAACTGTTTAAAGGGTCAACGCATAAATTTTTACTTGCAGCCACTTACCCTGGTATCCAAGGGGGCAGAGTGGGCTAAAGACGCCTGAGGAGACACGGGGAAGGAGGCTTTGGGGAGAGAACTGAGAGAGTAGCGGGCGGGATCTCGGTGCTGACTCAAATGGCAGCAGCCATTTTGGTCAGGAAGAGACTACTCCCCCTGAGTGGCACCTGCATCAAAGGACCCAATAGCCCAACCCCAGGTGGGATTCGACCACACCCTAAGCTGTCTAAGGCACCCGCTAAGTGCAGAATGAGTAGATTAACAGCTGAAGGAGAAAACCACAAATAGCAGATTACTGGAAGTCTGGAAAAGACTGCCTAAGGTCAGACAGGGACGACATCTGACATCATCAGAGGCAGATCCAGAAAGTAAAAACAGTGGTCTCCAAAAATAGAAGTTCATACCACAAGGTCAGGAAATCAAGACAGATCAACTTAAGAAGCAGAAGCAAAAGAGAAGAGTCTCACAAATAATGGGAAGACAAAGAAATACACTCCACTCGAAGGGAAAGGAGGAATCCCCAGAAAGAGAACTAAATGAAGTAGAGGCAAGTAAACTATTAGATATTGAGTTCCAAACAACAGTTCTAAAGAAGCTCAATGAGCTCAGTGAGCTCAGAGAGAATTACGAGACTACAGGGAAACTATGAGGAACTTACTGCAAACTGTATCAGCATGAAAAAGGACATAGAAACTATCAATAAGAGACAAGAGGAAATGAAGAATACAATTTCTCAATTGAAGAACACAGTAGGAGGAATCCAAAGCAGGCTCGATGAAGCTGAGGACCGAATCAGCAAGCTGGAGGACAAGGCAGAAAAAAGCTCCCAGAAAGAGCAAGAAAATGAAAAAAGACTCAAAAAGAATGAAGAGGCATTGAGAGGAATGCAGGACAACCTGAAACGTAATAATATCCATATAATAGGGATACCAGAAGGAGAAGAGGATGAGGAAGGGAGAGAGAACCTGTTTGAAAAAGTCATGATGGAAAACTTCCCTCATTGGAGGAGAGAAAAAGTCACACAAGTCCAGGAAGCACAGAGGGTCCCATTCAAGAGGAACCCAATGAGGTCCACTCCAAGACACATCATCATTAAAAT